GGTCCAATGTGGCAACTTCTTTGTCTGAGCCCTGCCTTATTTTTCTGAGTTCTGCCTGCTGAGCCGAGCGGGATGGTCCTCCACAAGCAAGCCCGCCGGAGATAACTCTGATTTCTCCAACAGGTGGGTCGAGATTACCTTGTGCCTGAGGTTGTTGTGGAGGGCGATCAGGACCTTGGTTTGGTTGTGCTGGTTGTCGGGGAGGGGTGCGCCGGCGGTTGTTTCTGACGGGTTCAGTTCTTGGCCTCTGCTGGGGGCGAGCTTCCATGAACCGACTGAGACGCCCCTAACGGATCAGACCCTCGACCTGGTCTTTGAGGTTTACACACTCTTCGGTGTTATGGCCGTGGTCTTGGTGGAAGCGGCAGTATTTGGACTGGTCTCGCCGGTTAGAAGAAGACCGCGATGGTTGGGGCCATTTGAGGAGATAATCTCGCTGGATCTGGTGCAAGACTTGTTCTATGGGGGAGTTGATAGGTGTGTATCTCTCGAACCGGCCGAGCGGTCGGGTTGACGCCGAACGGTTGGCTCGAGGCGGTCGGTCATTGTACTGAGGTGTTTGGTGAGTGTACTGGGTGCTTCTGATTTCTGAGTCTTTTCTCTTTTCTCTGGGGGTCGGGTTTTTGACTATTGGGTCTTGCCAGGCGGTTAGGAAATCTTCGGCATTTATGTATTTTTGGGCTTTAGAGAGTAGGGTTGCCATGGAGGTCGGAGGATTTTTTGAGAGGGAGAAAAGGAAATCAGATGATCGTAGGCCGGCCATAAAAGCCGTAAAGATGACCTTGTCATCGTTTTCTGCTACCTGCAAGGCTTCGGTGTTGAAGCGGGTAACGAAACTGCGCAGCGACTCCCCCTCGGTCTGATGGATGTTGAGGAGTTAGGTTGCTGGGCGTCTTTTTGGCGCTGGGCTCCAATGAAATAGCTGAGGAAAGAGTCACTGAGATGCTGGAAAGTGGAGACAGAGTCTGCTGGCAGTTGACTAAACCAAAGTCGAGCCGACCCTTTGAGTGTTACGGGAAAAGCCCGACACATGATTTCGTCAGGGAATGCATGGAGGATCATGAGAGTCCGGTAGGTCTCTAAGTGATCAACTGGGTCTGTTATCCTGTCAAAAAAGTCGATGGTGGGCATTTTGAACTTAGGCGGTAGAGGTTTGTCCCGGATGGAGGCAACGAATGGTGAGTTGGCTGTGGTGGATGGTTTATGCTGTATGTTCTGCATGACTCCTTGGAGCTAGAGCTTCATGGCTTGGAGTTCTGCATCCCAGAGAGGAATGTTGTCACCATCGGAGGGGAACGGGGGCTGGACGCTACTGGCCTCTCCCTCGGGGGTTGGTACTGGGACCAATGGATGCGGGGCCCAGGGTGGCAGGTTTATACCTGGGGGAGGGGGTTGCAAGCCTTCCAAGTTGGGTGGATTAGGCTGCTGGATAGTATGACTTGGGGCTCGTTCTTGGTTGGGTGGAATATCTGGAGGTGGTGGAGGAGGCATAAGAAGGTTTTTTTGGAGTAGAGCATTAATCAGGGCTTGGTTTTGCTCAGCCAAGCGGTTAATGCTGTTGGTGAGTTCGGTGAAATACTGTGGTGGGTTATTCAGATTGGGAGGGTCGGCTTGATAATCGAAAACATTGGGGTGAGAAGCCATGGATCTAGTTGTGACCATCCACCTTCACGGGTGGTAGGAGGGGGTTATTGGGAGAGGGTCTCCGGTGACAACGACCACAACTGGCGCGCGGAACAAAAACGTTTCCCACAGACGGTGCCAACTGATGATACAGTTCGTTCCAGGTGGAGCGGGTCGGATTGATCCACACTCCTCGAGCCTATGTCCGAATGACCAAGCCCACCAGAAGACCTGCACAAGAGTTCAACGGGGAACGGGGAGTCCCCCTGCAAACCCTCCGACGAGCAAGTTAGAAAGAGAGAAGTGGAATGTGTAGATAGATTAGAGATAGAAAAACTTAACCTTTTTCTTGTCTTTTACGTTTGCGTATGTCCTCTGGTAATCATTTCGTTGTCCCTTCCGACCTGTCACCTTGGCCGAAAGTCTATGCTCTAGCTTACCTTATTCATGATGAAGGCGCTCTGTCCCGACGGAGAGGGATTATCGCAATAAATGCTGTAAGGGGCCTCATTAATGGCGATGTGCAGTGACAATAACTTTGCAGATCTTTGTCTGCTTATATGGCTTGCCCTTCTCTTGCCATGTGTCTTGATGTCATTGCTTCTCATTGCTACTTGGGGCTTCAGCAATGTTGAGCTTTAGTATTTGAGTTATGTATTGGGCCCTATGGCCCTAAATGGTGGGCTATAATCTTTATGGGCTTACCATGTCAAAGATAAATGTTAACAAGTATTCTAAGGACATTGTTTAATATTATAAAACGTATAAAAAAAACATCTTGAAAATATATATATTGATTTTAATAAAAATGAATTAAATTTAATAAAATATATCTTCTATTTTTTAATTTTTTTGTCTTTACTCATAACTTAAAAACACTTGTTAACAAAATCTTAATTTCAATTATTCAGAGACCACTTTGCATTAAAAACATTTTTGCAGAAGAGTAGTAGTATGCGTGAGAAGAGAAGAGCACTAAGAGCATCTCCAACCACACTCTTTATTTTTCACTAGCTAAAGTATAAAAAAATGACACTCTTTATTTTACCTAATTAGTTTAGCTATTGTGTGTTCCAACCATACTCTTTATTTTAGCTAGTCATTCAAACTAATTTAACCAATTTTCAAAACAAAAAATGCTACATATATATATATATATATTACTCTTTTTCATAGAATACCACATATGCACCTACTTTCTAATATGGTTGCCAATGTGACATTTGCGATAATATTTTTAAAAATAATATTTTTTAATATTAGTTTTAAAAATATTATAAAAAATAATTTTAAGTAATATTTAATTTTTTTATTATAAAATTTATAGTATGTGAATACATTTCAACATATGAATTTGGTGGAACCATCTTGAAAGGAATGGAGGGGAAGAATAAAAGAAAACAATAAAGAATTTTTTTAAAAAATAACAATACAAAGGAAGTTCTTCAATAATTATAATTTATAAAATTAAGAACCGAAAGAACACAAATTAACTAATTAAAAACCTTACAAAGGTCAATGAATAAATAAGAAAAAAAATCATAAATAGCAAAGTTAGGAATAAAATTCAAAATAAATAAACTATTTCTAACACTAATTGTTACAAATCTCCATGTAGATGCCACAAATGCTCAACTAGGTCTGCTTGGAGTTTAGAATGAGTTTGTCTATCTCTAATGCGATGATGATTTTGAATGAAGTCATAAAGTTCGGGTGTACGCTCGTGTGACACTGCTGGAGGGAGAGTTTCATCGATTGCATCATAATTACAGTCTATATTTTGTTCATTTCGCTCATCCTCAACAATCATGTTATGCAATATTATACATGCCTTCATAATAACTTTAAGGGTTTCAACTTTCCAAAAACGTGCAGGTCCTCGCACAATTGAGAAACGTGCTTGGAGCACTCCAAATGCTCGTTCGACATCCTTCCTTGCTGACTCTTGAGCCTTAGCAAAATGTATTTGCTTATTGCCTCGTGGAGATGGAATTGTTTTAACGAATGTTGACCATTGAGGATATATACCATCAGCGAGATAATATCCCATTGTATAGTCATTTCCATTGATTGAGTAATCAACTTGGGGAGCACGCCCTTCAGTAAGGAGAGAAAATACAGAAGAACGTTCTAACACATTGATGTCGTTATGAGATCCCGGTAATCCAAAAAATGCATGCCATATCCATAGATCATAGGAAGCCACCGCTTCTAAAATAATAGTTGGTTCATGGATATGACCACAATACATACCTTTCCATGTAGTAGGACAATTCTTCTACTTCCAATGCATACAATCAATGCTCCCCAACATTCCAGGAAACCCACGATTTTTTCCCACCTCTAGTAATTTAGCAATGTCATCTTTGTTTGGTGCCCTCAAGTACACATCTGAAAAAATTGCAACCACTGCCTGAACAAACCTTTGTAGACTTTCTATTGCAGTGCTTTCTCCAATCCTCACATAATCATCTACAGAATCGGCCGCTACTCCATAAGCGAGCATCCTCATAGCCGCTGTCATCTTTTGAAGGGAAGACAGACCAAGAACTCCAATAGCATCTTTCTTCTGGACAAAATAAGGATCATATGCTTCCACCATAGATAAAATACGAAGAAAGAGATATCGACTCATCCGAAACCTCCTCCTAAATAAATTGGGCGGATATATAGGCGTTTCAGAGAAGTAATCTTGATAAAGTCTCTTGTGGCCTTGAATTCGATTACGATAAATAACTGTATGACCTTGAATAGAACCACGACGTAATCCCAATTGCCTCTCATTATTTAGCCGCTCTTCTTCTAAAGCAGCTATTGCAAATATCTCCAATTCATTATCAGAATCAGAGTCATCAATAATCATCTTCATTACACTATTGCGAGCCATGGAAATTAAAAGAAGAATGAAGCTGAGTAATAAGCAACTGAAAATAAATATTAGGTTGTGTTTTGCTTCTTAAGCTTTGCAAGTTTCTGCCTAACAACTTCAATTTTCTGCAAAGTCAAATTTATAAAACATATCAAACAACTTCCAAAATCAAAACACCAGCAACTTACATAATCTGTATTTAATTGATCAACAAATAGAAATGTCCTGTAAATAAAAATCACTCCAATCCAACATACAATAAGAATTATATTTAGCCATGGAGTACTTCAGCAAGCATTCAACGAGAATTCCACTCAGTAATTAAATTACTAATAGTTCAACCATTCAACAGTAGGTAGTTCCAAAAAACTTTTAACATATAATAAATAATTGAATGTAAACTGCATAAAAAACATAGTTCTGCCTACAATGGAGAATCAAATCCAACAATAAATAAAGTGAAAAACATAGTTCCAACAACTAAATTTTTTTTGGGTAGTTCCAACAACTAAATCTTTTTTTGGAGAATTTCCATTTGGCGGCGATGAAGGTATTCTGCTTGCAATGAAGGCAGACCACTTGTATCTATTGACATTATTCGCTCTTCCTCCTTCAATTGTTCCATTCGTATCTTCTCTTTCTCATTATCAACCTTTTCTTGTTCCGTTTGCGTCCTCTTTTTCTCATTATCAATCTTTTCTTGCTCTTGAAGATACGACCTTTCATACATCTCTATTTTCTTGTCATTCATTTTCTTTCTATCTTCCTTTAAATCCTCTAATAATATTAAAATATGTGACCCTCCTTCATTTCCACGGTCTTTATTCTTTCTTTTATTCAAACGTTCCTTTTCAGCTTTCCTGCCCGGTGGTCTTTCCAAGTCTACATTGTCATTATGTGAAACATCATTGTCCTCTAAATTGATTGAATCCGGTGCACTAGGAGAACAAACGCCGGGAGTTGCCACTTTTTTTGGTTTTTGTTTCTTCATGCTATATTCTTCTCGCCATTTTTGTTGATCTCTTAACTCATGCCTACAATGTTCAAATGGAAATGACGATTTGTACAACTCTTTGTATAATTTCTTCGCATCAAGAATCTGAATAATAGATAAAAGAACACTAATTATCATGAGATTAGACAATTCCAATGATAATAAGTATAAAAAACTCAATGGCATTAATACCTTATCTTTGTCAGTCTTTCCACTTTGATTCAACCTTTGGATTTGGGCGAAGCACCCACTGAACTTATTCGTGGCAAGTTGAATTGCTGACCAACGGTTCATTAAAGAAGTTTGACTACGATTAGATGAAAAAGTTTTGTACTGGTGGAAATACTCCCACACTCTTAGCCAATAAGCCTTTGATTTTTGTTCATTCCCTTGCACTGGATCTAAGCTAATGTTAAGCCACGCCGATATGAGCATACTGTCTTCTTCTGTAGTGAAGTTGCCACCTCGTTGTGGTTTCTTGGTGGTTTCTATTTGAGGAGAGATTGGGGAAGACTGATCCCCTTGGTCAAGAGGTTCATCCATAAATTCATAATCAGTCCCATCATTCATCAAGTTGGTGAAATATGCATCATTTTGTTGCTGACTCATCTAAAGACAAGGTAAAGAAAATTATGTCAACATATATTGGGTTGGAGAAATAACTAAGATTCCCAATTGGGAGCAAATTAATTAATAATTGGAGATCATGTAAATTAAAACAGTAGTTGTTTTGTTGAAAATGATTCAATGATAATTTTAGATAAATAAATGGAGATCGTGTAAATTCAATGAAAAAGAATTCAATGATAGTTGCAACCAACTCTTTATCATTGATAGACAACTTAGGTATTGGGAATATTATTTGAGTTAAGAAGTTTAAGATTCATTTTTTTTCTTGTGCTTGGCATTTCTTTTATTTAATTCTATTTTGGTTACTTTTTTCTTGTCAAGCATTCGGCATAAGAATTTGTAAATACAGTCCATTTTTTTTCTTGTGCAATAGTTTCTCTCTTTGCCTCTGCTTCTTCAACTGATTTTTGTACTCCAAATCTTTTATCTTCAAGCTTTTGGACATGCTTTCTGAGATTTTCAATGTTTCTTTCATAGAAAATTAAATAACCAAACTGACGGCAGACTGGGGTAATCAGACATTTTACAATCTCTGTTACAATGGGAAGAGCAATGTTCACAGCCATTTCTCGCGTGTTTCTTCTGAGGATAGTGAAACTTAAAATGTAAAAGACTAGAACACAAGAAGGGGATTTCTACAACAGCTGAAATGGAAATGAGGAATCTGAGCTTTGCAAATCGAAATAGAACAAAGAGAGGAATACTATTTTGCAGAGGATATGAAGACAAGAAAGAAACACTTAGATGAAACTTCACAAAATCAAAACGGAATACATTTTTTTTTTTTGACAAGCAGGGTTGAATATAGAGAATTATATTGCAATATAATGGAACTAGAAAGAGGAGCTTTTGTACTATAACACCAAGAAAGGGAGCTTTGTAAAATGAAAATAGAACACACAACTGAATATTATTCTGATAATTGTTCAACAAGAGTTCTAATAGAGTTGAAGTGGAGGAGATAACAAAGCTCTCTAAAATCAAAAAGGGATACAGAGTTTTTTTTTTTTCTGGTAAGTAACACTTGAACACAGAATAAAATTGAAGGAAGAAAGTAAAATTATAGAGATTTTTTTTTTTTTTGGAGGGGGGTTGTGATAAGAAGCAATGACAAAAAGATAAGAGTAATAATATATGATTAATTGAAGGAGGAAATGAAGAAAGAAAAACCTTTGAGATATTGTTCCGTCTCTTAGAGATGAAAAATGCACTGCATAATCATTCGCCGGCAGTGAAGAGTAAAGCTTTTCAGGAAGACAACAACGAAATCAAATAGAAAGAGAGTATCGAAAGCCAAACAATGAACTCTTAACTGTTGATGCAGAGTAAATTGCACTCACCTCTTTTGAGGTTTTCCCTTTTGAGATAATACAGTTAATAAATTAATATAATTATATTAATTTATTAACTGTATTATCTCAAAAGGGAAAACCTCAAAAGAGGTGAGTGCAATTTACTCTGCATCAACAGTTAAGAGTTCATTGTTTGGCTTTCGATACTCTCTTTCTATTTGATTTCGTTGTTGTCTTCCTGAAAAGCTTTACTCTTCACTGCCGGCGAATGATTATGCAGTGCATTTTTCATCTCTAAGAGACGGAACAATATCTCAAAGGTTTTTCTTTCTTCATTTCCTCCTTCTGAATTACTTTGAAGAGAATGAATATTCCTCAACTTAATGTTTAAGAATTGTTATAAATTTGACTAAATTAACATAAAATTAAAAAGAATTAAGAATAAAATTAATGCAATTAGAATTATTATAACAATTCAATTGACATGAGATGAATTACATATATATATCCACATAAGAGCATATATTTATAGGATTTTCTGTTATGATCATGATCGTACACCAAGGATTTCAAATATTTGGTTGCATATGACACAGTTAAAAGAACAATTGGGACACGAGAGGTGAATTTGGTGAACAGAGAATCACTGATAATATGTATATATATATAGCTAAGTATATGTACATGAGAAATTCATTGATCATACCCAATAACTGCAAGGAGGAAAAACTGGACAAGTAAAGAAAGAGTGAGTGGTGGTCTCTCCTTCCTGACATATTCAAAAGAAAGAACAAAAAGAGCATATTGTTATTAATACTTGTTAATTTGAATAAGAAATCATAATGGACTAGAGAATTAATTTAATTTGATTAATGGGTTGGATTAAAAACGCACTTTTCAAGAAAATAAGCAAAAGGCAAGAGGAGAAGAAGAGCGAGAACGTTGCGGTAGACGGGATAGACAATCTTGCTGATGCCCATGTTAAGGGCAGCTCTGGAGACTACATGGAAACCGGCATACCCAAACTGCAAGGCCAACATGGACATGTGCAGCTGGAGCCTTTCGGGGATCGAACAACCCATTATTTTAATAGTAGTAGAGGCTGAGTTAGTAGTGTCCGCCATTGAAGAAACAGAGAGACACTACGCTATATGATCAGTTTGAAAGAAATGAAAGAGAAAGAAGGGAGGGAGTGAGTGAGTGAATATTTGTGGAGAGGCAAGGGAAGAGGAGGGAGATATATATATATATATATAGGGGGTAGTCCCACAAGAAGGCCCAAAAAGACGTATAGTCAAGTGAGTAAGAGATGGTATACGGGATTTCTTCAATCAAGTGTTTTTCATATGCTCATATCAGCTGTATGTAAAAAAATATAATGTAAAACAGCTAATCAATTAAAACCAAATTCTAACTCATCTGCATACCATACTGTAATCCAGTATCTTTTTTAGCAAGTTTCGGAATTTCTTTTGCAGGTAATACTGAACAATAAGCTGTATGAAAATGGGTCAGAAAACTGGTAGCACACAGCATACTTGAGATCAAACAACCCCCAAGAACAATAACAACGATGATGTGTTTTTGCACTCTATTCAGTCTGTACTTATGACCAGTAAAAATAAGTACAGGATTCAAGCCAACAGGTGGGATTCTAAAGTGATTAACTAGAGAAATTCATGTGCTCCTTGGAAATGCATTTCTAAATTGTTGGATTTATTCTATGATTTAATTTGTTTCATGAGGATAAAATTCTTAGAATATGTAGAATTAAGGTCCAACTTGCAAAATCATTCGCAACACAAAAACACAAAACACAAAAACAGAACAGTAAAGTATCAATGTATGCTTGAACTCACAGATCAGACCCTCAAGTACACATATAAATTGTTTACAGATTGTAAAACCAAGAAAATGGGAGAGACCCAGATTACAGAGGAACAAGGAAAGTTTGTGCTATACATACATATATATATATATATATAGAGAGAGAGAGAGAGAGGGTTTATGAGTTGCATAGAAAGGGGAAGACAGAGAGATAGAAGGATCCATACCTTGAGGAAGAGGTCGATGGAGGGAGTTGCAGACAACGTTGAAGGAGAAGATCGATTTCACTGAAAGAGCAGATCGATTTCGCAGGAGAGACGTGTTTGGAGATCGATTTCGCGCTGAAGAAGTAGATCGATTTCGCGGGAGAGACGTGAGTAGATCGATTTCGCGGGAGAGACGTGTTTGGAGATCATTCAATCACTCTCCAATTGAAGCCAACGAAAAAGCCGCGAGGGAAAATAGGAAGCTGTTTAGCTAGCCCGTTGGAGTGAGAATATTAGGCTGATATGAGCTAAAATAGCTAACAGTACCAATATACCTCTTGTAATCTAAGTGATTGTTGGACATGAGATGTTTGTCATAGGTCTCGTTTGATAACTTACTGTTTTAGTTTAAAAGTCAAAAAATCATTAAATTTTTTTAAAAAAAAATAATCTATATTAAAAAGTCAAATATTCTCTTTTTTCTCTTTACTTTTTGCACATCTTTTTATAAAAAAATTAAAAGTCATTCCAAACATACTATTTTTTTTAGTTCATATTTTAATCAAAAAATCAAAAAATTATTAGAATAGTCTATTCCCAAATGATGTTTCTCTTAAGTTTGATTTATTTTTTAATTTTACTAATTTTTTTATGAAAAGACGTGTAAAAAAATATAAAGAAGATGTGACATAACTAAGTCAATAAATTGCTTATTTGACTTGTTGCCAAACCACACCTAAAGGCCAAAATGTGAACCCAAGGGTGGTTGGCAACTTGGTAAATGCTTGGGGTTTAAGCCCCCAGGTCCTAACTTCAAACCTCCTTGGGCCAATCTCCTGAGCATAGTACAGTTGGTTACGAGGTTAGTCTGAAGCAACTTCATCGCACTTAGTGTGGGTTCAATGCTTTCCCACTGTGCGAGTCCTGACTTAAACGGAGCTTGGAACTTGTCCTAGGAGGTCGATGCAAGTTCCCAGATTATAATCTCCTTATTCAGATTGGGCAACAAGACACCCTGATGATCTCTGCAAGGGCGCTGCCTTGGACTTGTGGGCAAGTAGGGAAGATTTTCTTGTAACAAAAAAAAGGCCAAAATGTATTTAGAATTTTTTATTTTTTATTTATTTTTTGTGTGTGTGTGAATGAAAAAATTAATATGACAGTCAATTTATTAAGTTTTTCAGTCAAATAATAATTGTTAAGAGCATCTCTAATCTTTCATTTTTTTTTTCATCAAATTTAAATTTGATAAAAAAAAAATTCAAAAACTATCTCCAATTCTTTCATCAAATGTTCATCAAATCAAGAGACAATCATTTTTTTTTTGGGTCAAATTAAGAACTTATATTGTTGGAAAAAATAGTTTTTTTGTGACTTTAATGTGAAATTAAAGTAGGTCTCAACTATTGGTTATTGTGGGATTAAATGGGTTTAGATTATTTGTAATAAGGTTTTTACACCACAAAAAGATTGACAAAAAACCATTAAGAATTGAATGAGAAATTGTCTCATAAAGTTGGCCTCATGAATGAGGTATTGGGAATTGTGTATAGCTACCAATCTCATATTGATTATAGAGAAAAACTTTAATGAGTATTTAAACCTCAAGATTTTGATAAGGGCATGAATCCTTTGGGACATCCAAATTTTCTAAAGGAATGGAGTTATGGATGCTTCAAGGATGAGTTTGAGCAAAAACTATGGTCCAAGTTGTTTAATCTCTACTAGCCCCTTCAAGGGTGGTCTATGGGTTGTGGGCTATGGATCATGGATCTTGGGACTTGGGCTTGGGCTTGAAGCTTAAGGCTTGAAGCTTGTTGGAATGAGTTAAGTTTGGGCTAGGCCGAATTTATGGTCCACCAACCTAATCTTTTTGGGTCAAGTCTACTGCAGATATACACACATGTATATACAAAGTATATAACTCATATACTACTTGACCCATCATTTTTTGTGCGTTACTTTAGCAGTTTTGCAGGAATAATTACTGTATTTGGTACCAACCTTAATGGCTGAAAGCTCCTCCTCTCTCCTCCATTATGTATAAAAGAAGACCCATCTTTCTTGATTTGTTATAGAATATTTGCTCTCATAATATAGTCAAGTCAGTCTCCTTCTATAATATATTCTTCCAGTGTGAGAGAGTGTTGCCATTGTCGGTTCGCTAAGCTAACAGAAGGTGTTTCTGCGTTAGCCGGTCTAAACCGTCGTATTCTAGAAGACAGAAGTCAACGTACCTCCAGCACCCACTGTGAAGCGGCTAATCGGTTTTAAGGAGAGTGTAGTATCACACAAGCTTTAGTTTGCGCTTCTTTACTATTTTATTATATTGTGCATTTCTGTGTAATATCATTGTAAATTCCAGTATATTTTCTAAGTTTGTAATTTCATTTGATTAATCATGAATCTATTTATTGTTGTTAATTACATTAATTTGTACAACAATCAAATCCTTTATCAAATTTGAATTTGAAAAAAAAATTAAAAAACGAAATATTAGAGATGATTTTTTTTTTATCAAATTTGATGAGAAGTGAAATTTGGTATGAGAATATAATTTTTTAAAAGGTTTTGATGAAAATTTAATGAAAGAACTGAAGTAGTCATATCAAATCAAGTTTTTCACTCAAATTTAAAATCAAATTAGATGAAAAAGTTGGTAAATAATTAGAGATGGTCTAACCCATTGACATTTTATAGTGTGTACAAAAATTAAAATTCACTCCGGTATTTAACATTGAAACTTTGTGGTAGTAGTCGTGAAATCATCAGTTGTCGGCTAACTGGAAAGGATTCATTTAGAATATTAAAATTATATTTATATTATGAATTTAGATAAAAAATTTGAAAAAAAAGAAAGAAAAAATCACATATTATCATTGCATTTTTATCTTATTTTTTAAATTACTGTTTAAATTCATAATCCAATTCAATCATAGCAGTGGACTGAAATAGGAGAATAGGAAAAATTATTCACTATGTGTGGGGATATATTTTTTGAGTACCAACACGTGGCTAAGGTGACGCTGACGTGTCAGCCGAGGTGCCACGTGTCCTGGTCATGACACCGAGGTTATCTCGGCGAGGCCGAGATTATCTCCGAAGATTTCGGAATCCGAGATAAGCGAATAATGGATAAGGGGCAAGAGTCCTAGAGTAAAGAGAAGACTTTGCTAAGATAAGGATAAAGCTCTTAGAGAGTTTATCTTTATCTCTTGAGAAATCCAAAATAAGTACAGAATTGGAGTCCATAGAAGTCAAGCTTCTAGTAGGACTAGGATTGAGTAAACTATAAAAAAGAGGCACCCCGTGGGATAAAGAAGAGGCTGCAGGCAGCA